ACAGAATTTCACATGCCAGTCGTCTTCCAGCTGTGACTGTTTAGTGCGATTCTGCCACCTATCAAATCTAATCTAGTCTGGTCCATACCCAACAGAAGTTAGGTGCACATTTCCTCAAGCTCCCATACAACTTTAGGTGGACTTTTATCTTTAAGTCACGCTGGCTCAAAGGTGAATAGAAGTCTTGTCAGCTGTGGCTCAATTGGTAGCATTTGCCTGTAAATCACAAGACTCCAGTTCCTCTCCAGGTTTTCAGCACACAAATCTCGGCTGGTAATCCAAAGCAATGCTGATGGAACATTGTACTGTCAGGATGATGTGCTAAATTGAGACCCGCATCTGCTGGCTTGGGTGGACATAAAAGATCCAATGAATGACTTCAAAGAACAGCCAATATTCATCCCTCAAATCAACATCTCAAAACACAGTTCTCATTGCTGTATTTGGGAGTTTGCTCAGTGGAAATTACTTGCAGGGTTTCCTACGTTGCAACAGTGACAACACTTTAAAAGTATTTAATTCACTATAAAGTGCTTTGGGACAACTGGTGGTTGTGAAAAGTGTTCTAAAAATGCAAGCCTTTCCTTGTGTTTTTTTAGCTGAATTTCAAACCATGTAATGTGATTGCACAATCCAAACATTGGCAGAAATTGGGCATGAGATGCTGCAGATTTCTACAGATGTTAGGTATTAATATTTTAAATAAATCTCAAAATACAAGATTTTACAAAGCCCCCATTAATTTATTGAACATTATATCATGTGATTAGTTCAAAGTAAAACTGTTAAAATACGAATCTTGTGCATGTGTTTGGTGACTCTTTTGCACTTTCCTGGCTGGGTAACCAAAACACACCATTAATACGTGGAAGCAGTGTGAATGCTTTCACATTATGCCTGAATTTTAATCATGCATAATTGCATACAGTAAAGATCTCTCAAAGGGCTTCAATCATCAACAAAACCACGTATAGAATTTAATCTCCCCTTTGGAATAATTGCTTCTTCTGTTTAGAAGAGAGTTGTTGTAAAAATTCAGTGTATTGGTCACACCTGAGACTTGTATTGTGCAGTCATGAAAAGCTTCCTTTTCCCAATTCTATCCTCAAGGTGTTAACTTAGGATAGTTAGGGCTTCCATGACTGTGGCCTGATCACTTAATAGGGGAGTCATTTAAGTGTTCATTTAAGCATTCGTAGGACATTGTTTTTCCCTCTGTGTTCAAACAATCATAGCTCATCCTATCCTAGACTTGATGTCCACATGCATGTTTTCCAGCAGGAGCACATGTGCTATCATGTCTCTTCTTCCCTCCCTCCTGCTTCAGGCATGGCAATGCAATTTAGCACTCCCATCAGTATCCTAGTGAAGATGACAAAAGATATCATTTGTTTTGTGTACTGTTGCACCCCATACTTTGCAAGATTTTAAAATGACCTAAAATGTGTTTTACAATGAGTTCACATGGAGCTGCCTTGTGTTCATTCTTCTGACTCACTAGGTTGAATTTAGTGGTGATGGATAATTTATAAAAGTGGTCACTTTGTAGTACAGAACTTGAATCTCACTGAACAGAGAGACATATTGCCCAAGATTTTATCTTGCACTCATAGGGACAAACACGGAATTGCCAATTTCAGATGATCACAACAATTTCTACTACAGCGGAAAAGGTTGATGATTAGTTAGTAAGTCACCTTTGGTTGGCTGAGGTTTTGTCAAGCAGAAGGCAACAGGGAACTATAGACTGAGATAGTAGGAACTGCAGATGCTGGAGAATCTGAGATAACAAGGTGTAGAGCTGGAT